AGGTACTTTTTTAAATTCATTATCCGATCACATTAAGGACCAGATTGCAGCACGAGACGAGCCACCCAACTTTGACGCATTAATAAATCTTGCAATAGCTATAGACGAACGTTTCCGGGAGAGACACCGGGAGCGGGACTACAACTCCCAGAGGGCTTCCACTTCCGGGTTTCCTACGTCATCAGCAGGGGCGTACCACTCCAAAGCAAAATTTGAAAAACACATCCCTCGTAGTCCTCCAGTGCCATCTACTGGTTTCTCACTTTCATTACCTGAATCTGAACCCATGCAGATTGGAACTACGCGTTTAACATTTACTGAGAGACAGAGACGCAAAGATTACAACCTTTGTTTTTACTGTGGGAAAGAGGGTCACTTTGTTGCCGCGTGTTCGGTTCAGGGAAACGAAAACAACCACCAGTAAAGAGGGAGTTACTGGTGGGCATATCATCTTTTTCTCCCCCCCGCAGGTTTACATTACCCACCATAATTCAACTAAACAGTAACCGGTTTCCTGTATCTGCACTAATTGACTCCGGTGCAGAACAAAACCTTATTAGCCAAGATTTAGTAAAGAAATTTTCTCTCCCCGTCATTGAAATAGACACTATATCCATTGCTGGAGTTACCGGAGAGGCTCTAGCTCAAATTAAATTTAAGACCACCGAGTTACATTTAATTACTTCTGGAAATCATCATGAGGAGATTAGTTTTTTTGTATTTGATTCCCCAAACACTCAATTAATTTTAGGATTCCCCTGGCTACGGGCTCACAATCCTCACTTTAATTGGGAACTTGGTAGGATTGAAAAATGGAGCGACAGGTGTCTAAAACACTGTCTCCGCTCTGGTATATCAAATCCCTCGATAAAGATAACTACTATTGAAGACGTTGACCTCTCCAATATCCCCGTCGAATATCACGACCTCTCCCCGGTATTTAATAAACATAAAGCCCTGTCTTTACCTCCTCATCGTCCATATGACTGCTCCATTGACCTTCTACCAGGAGCTACTCTACCAACTAGTCGTCTATTCCATCTGTCGGGCGCTGAACGTAGCACCATGCAATCTTACATTGAGGAGTCCCTTGATTCCGGAATTATCAGTCCATCAACCTCTCCAGTAGGGGCAGGTTTCTTTTTTGTTACTAAGAAGGACAAGACTTTACGTCCATGCATCGATTATCGAGGACTAAATCACAAAACCATAAAGAACAAGTATCCGCTACCGTTAATAGACTCTATCCACTAACAATTACTGACCGCTACCATCTTCACCAAACTGGACCTTCGCAACGCTTATCACCTCGTCCGGATCAAGGAGGGTGATGAATGGAAAACAGCTTTTAAGACACCTATGGGACACTTTGAATATCTCGTCATGCCATTTGGTCTCACCAATGCTCCCGCAGTTTTTCAGGCACTGATTAATGACGTATTAAGAGATTTTATTGGGCGCTTTGTATTTGTTTATTTAGATGATATTCTCATCTACTCCAGGAACAAACAGGATCATGTCTCACAAGTCAGAATGGTCCTTCAAAGACTTTATGAAAACCAACTCTTTGTGAAAAGTGAAAAATGTGATTTCCACACCACCTCCGTTTCATTTTTGGGGTTTATCTTCGGGGAGGGGCACTATAGGACCGACCCAGAAAAGACTAAGGCGGTGGTGGAGTGGCCAGTTCCGGACACCAGGAAGCAGTTGCAACGTTTCCTAGGTTTTGCCAACTTCTATAGGCGTTTCATCAAGGACTACAGCCGTATTGCAGCACCTCTCTCCCAGCTCACTTCCACCAACAGAACTTTTCAATGGACCCCGGAAGCCAACTCTGCATTTTGTAAGTTAAAACATCTTTTCTCTTCTGCCCCCATCCTCTGCCATCCAGACCCAGCTCGTCAGTTTATCCTGGAGGTGGATGCATCTGACACCGGAGTCGGCGCAGTATTATCTCAGAGATCACCCAAGGACAATAAGGTACATCCTTGTGCTTTCTTTTCTCGTCGTTTGTCACCGGCAGAAAGGAACTATGATGTGGGCAATAGGGAATTACTGGCTGTGAAATTGGCATTGGAGGAGTGGCGTCACTGGCTTGAGGGTACTGAGGTACCTTTTCTCATCTGGACAGACCATAAGAATCTCACATATCTCAAAGACGCCAAACGATTGAACCCCAGGCAGGCACGATGGTCACTCTTTTTCACCCGTTTCAATTACTTGCTGACATTCAGACCTGGGTCCAAGAATGTCAAACCCGACGCTTTGTCTCGCCAGTTTTCTCCTCCAGAAGCCCCGGAGTCCGAGTACAGCATCCTGCCTCCAGTTTGCATCATTGGAGCCCTCACCTGGCCC